AATTTTTAATATTTCATCTACTGCAATATAATTTGAATGCTTCCATTTAAAAAGTCAATAGTGAAATAGTGTTTCTTTAATTGGTGATCAAAGCGAGTTCATCTTAATTAAATTACATTATGCAATTTGTAACAAACTGTTGTGGAAATAAATTGAAGAATCATGTATTTTCCTTATTGTCAGTAATTATTTGATATTATTAAAAACTTTATTACAGTGATATCGTGTACATATTACATTTCCAGTTATGTGATTTTATCTATACGAAAATAAAGTTTCCTTTCGCCAATTTCTAATACCCATCAGATATTTTTATTGGGTGTGTTGTTTTAGGGGATGCCTAAATATCAATAATTTTGTATAAATTTGATACATACAAATTTTGTCCTGTCATACAAAATGTAAATTTAAAAGTTTGTTGTTGTTTGCTTTAAAATTACACTGATTTTAAATAGATTAAATAAATTTTTTTATTGACATTGCTACATACGCAAACCTCTTTTATGTATTGAAAGCTATTCTAAAAGAACCGAGAAATTGATATTCCAGGTTATCTTTGTTCACATACTTTATTTTTATCCCAATCGGCAGTTTGAACGGCAGCTAATTCATTTGGCGTCCCAGCAGGTTTCCAGCTGCCTATTTCTATATATTATCTGCAAGTGGTAATCATGCTGGGAACGCATTGCACTGGGTTCACATGATCGCATATAGGTCCTGTTCCTGTCCACTCAGATGCACTGGGAAAAATCAATACGCTGTTATAATTATTGTATGTTCCTAGAAAAATATATTTTAACATCTTAAACACGTTTACGCAAATTAAAAATTGAACAAAATAAAATGAAGCATATATTATAATATAAATACACTTTATTACCAAAAAACTAGTTGTTTAAGACAAACCGTCGAAACAAGCTAATTTGGTGTTGTGTAGCTTGGAGTGTAATGAAATCACACATAGACGGGGAAAATGAAACTGCGATTGGAGCCGCTGGAAAGGCGAGGAAAAACGGGGCAAAGTGCGGGGCTTTACGACATGGAGACCATCGACACTTTGTACGTTGTTGTGTAAAACGATTGGCGCGTTAATCAACGTACAAATTTCCGACTTATATGGCCAGCGAATTAAATCGTTCCCCCGAGATCGGCCAACCTGGTCAGCTGTCTTCCTGACAGCTGCCGATTAGAACTGGAGCGATAAATTATACAATTGCCATGCGTGAGACCCGCAAAGAGAGAGGATCGGACTCCATTGGACTCCGACTCCATATATATACATATATATATATATATATTTATCGGGGACCCGGCTCCCGATTCCCCCGGCTCATCGCAATGACAATTACACTGATTACATTAAATATATGAGGCCCATATTGGGAGCCCGGTGCCTCTGGGAGTGTTAACTGTTCGCATGTCCTCTAAAAAAGAAAATTTAAAATCGCAGTCAAGCGTAATTTGTGCAATTTGCAGCTCCCTCAAGTATGCAACGCAGTCCGATGGCCCAAAACTCGTGAAAACTATGCAAATTAGCTAGGCCTAAAAGACGGTAGAAGGGGTTTCAAAAATTGGACTCTATACACTCTAAAACTGTAATATCCTTTTCTATGTTTTATCCTATTAATATATATCAATACACAATATTTTTTAAAGTTAGTAGGCTTTTTAAATTTTGTCTACCGAAGGTTTTGAGAATGAATCAAATTATTTAATTTTATTCAAATATTCTAGTTGAAAACGATAAACTTGTTTTTGTCAGTATTTCAATTAAAAAATTCAAACCTGGTAAAAAAATGTTTTTTAAAATTAAAGCCAAACAACTTTAAATGCCACCTATAAACATAACTAAGCTACTCCAAATACCCTAGTCTGGAAAAATCGACAACATGCATTCTTCGACTTAGGAACCGGGCTGTTTGTTATGACCTGTGCAGTTTGTTTTAAATTCTTGTGGCGCGGCATGAAAAATCAATTATGTTAGTTGAACTTTCTGAGCTAAACGCTAAACAATTGCGCATAATTACGAGCGTTGCGTTGGGGACGAAACCAAAACGAAACCAAAATGCAGACTGCAATGCATTGCCGTTGCCTCAATTTGTGCATTTGCATAAGAGAAGGGTTGGGGTTTTTGTGGCACAAACAAGAAATAACAACAATTAAGGTCCGAAATGGCAAAAGTTAATGACCGAACAATTGAGGAAATTCACGTAAATGACTTCGGGGGCCTTCGGATACGGATTAGAATTGGGCACATTCGAAAGAATGCAGGAAATGTTTAACCGGGAATCGTTTTCAGAACTAGGAACTGCGGGCATTTCAAACAATATGAGAAACGGAAACTCTTTCCGAAGGCAAGTCAATTGCAAATCGCAAAAGAGCCATATAAATAAAGGAATATACACGTAAAGTTGAAAATCAGAAATTAATGTTAGATGTAATCTATATAAAGTACATAGAAGTTGTAAAAAATCAAGTTATTAAAAGTTTCTTAGATACTCAATACAGTTGCAGGTTTAAGTGTCAGTTTCGTCAACTATTTAGTTAAAATTAATAATAAATATATAATAAGTTAAAAAATAAAAACAAATAAATCCACCATAATTTAAATTAAGAATAATATTTGAATAAAATTTGTATTTAAATTTAAATTTTGCAGGCAACGCGCCAACTTAACAGCAGCGCCAGATATGCAGCACTAGCCAACACTGGATTTTTACGATTCGTTAACATTTCTGTTAATTACATTTAGATTTTTAGATTTCTTTTAGGATTGTTTTCAAATAGTTGATCTGACTTTGATTAATATTCGACTCTTAGTCTATAAAATTGTTCTATTTTAAGTAAATATTACCCTTCGGAGTTCGAGTATTTTAAACCCTAAAAATACCTAGCTGCCGTTTAAGGAAAAGTTCGAGCTCTTTTTTAGTATAGCTTTCCTTAATGCAGCTTTTGAAATTTCTATTAAAATCTTCATTATGGGAAGAAGGTGACAAAAAGCAACTACTTTAAGAGCTTTGAAAGATTAAGGCCTCTCAACTGTATACAACGTTGATTATATAATTAAAACAATGCTAATCTCCTTAAGCCTGTATTCTACCATTAAAAAAGAAGTAAAATACCAAAACATTAACGAAAATAATATGAATTGTCGTTTATTTAATTATACCATCCTATCCGGATGAATTTACGATTAAATGCTCTTATTGAAATTTAATTCTTTAAATGATGACAATGAGGACAATGGTCCGCTAACATATCGAAATCATCAAAATCAACATCGACTAGTTCATCATCACCATCATTGTAAAATGACACTTTTAATTCCCCAAGTTCATTCGACATACTGATCACTAAATGACGATACTTGATATTAATTTCTATTGTAGACTTTTTTGCCAATCCCATCAACTCAACCAATAAAACAAGTTGACCCCGCCGGGCATATAAATAGACGAATTTTAGATTCTTGAGATGTGCCATATCAGCGACGATCTGTTTGTCACTAAAACCACATAAAATGTGGGATAATGTGCTTAATTGTAACATCGCCTGCGCCTCCTGTTTGCTGAGCAAAATGTCCGGAATATCTAGTCTCTGAAGACCCCTTCCCTTAAGATTTTGAAATAACTTAACCAGAGTTCCACTTTGATGGTATCCTCTAAGTCTTAATATCTCAAGTAAAGGCAAATTTGCCAGTGGGGCATATTTTGTGGCATCGATGCCGGGCTTCATAGTCAAATCAAGAACTTCCAGATGCTTACAGTATGGCACAATATCCGCAAAACTTCCATATAATTCGGTATTGGCGAATGTAAGAGAGTTTAAAAACCGATTTGCTCGGACCAACTGCACCAAGTCCTCTGCATTCATTCGAACATTGAGATAAAGTATTCTCAATCGGCCGAGCGGCGGCACATTTTGGAGGCTATATCCTGTAAAATCAAAGTTATCTTGAATATATGAACTCTTTTTAGAGCAACTCACCTGGAACGTCAATAAAGAGTGTTTGAAGACTGATCTTGTTTTTAATGGCATTTATCAGGACCTCAAATCTTTCCAAATGTTCGGGGTTGTATCGGGATGGTTTAAAAGTTATGCTCATTCCATTCATTTGTTTGTTCTCCTTAACCGCATTAACATACAATTTCCAATATAGTTCTTTGCTAGCTTTGGAAACGCTTTTTAGTGAGTCGTATACCCTGGCCAAATCGATTGTTACCATATTTTTCGCTTGTAAAAAGGCAAAATCGATATGAAGCTCCTTGTACAGGTCAAAGTTCCACTCCTTAAAAACGTTAACGAATCTCTCACAGCTGATGACGAAATTAATCAGATCCCAATATTTCTCAGGAGAACGTCTGTTCAACTCGCAATTAGCTTTGATCTGTCGAAATGTCTCGTACAAACAATAATGATTCAGCTTTAATATTGTTGTGGCGCTCATATTTGCAAATCTCCAGCCCCAAGCTCAAGACCAATTAGTTACAAATTATAGAAACAACTGCTCAGATTCTCTGCAGTTGTGGGAATTAGTTTAGTTTTGTAATCTTATCAGATAAGGTGCATATACTAAGCATATAAAGAATTTCTTCGCCACAAGCTAATTTAAACACTCTTTAGGAAGATCACTATCATTATACAAATCTAATTTGCAAATGCTTACTATGAGTAATCTTATTTCTTTGTTGGTGCAACACTGCTTTTACACAGATATAAAATATGAGAGCTATGAGAGATTCACATTCTCATCTAAATTAATTTTATTCCAAGCTTTACTTAAGAACAAAGACTTTTAAATCCAATAAAAAATTAAATAATTATTCAGGGGCTTCGCAGAAGAATTCAATCGAAAAATCCGTGGGTGTCCATAATCAATAGAGTTTATTGAGTTCACTTTTGTTTTCCACTATGATGATCATGAGAACAGAACATGGTAGCAACTACTTAAAACTACTTATCAAACAGAAGGCTAGGCCAGACCCTTTCAAAAGTAATTGCTTAAATCTTTTAATTTAAATTTCCAGTACTCCCACCCGACACGCACAAAAACCCGCTGAATGCAAGCCGAATTTGAAATAAAACAGGCTGGGCGCCAAACAAACAGCTGGTTTGGTCTATCGATAGCAGTGTGAGAAGACGTTGGCCAATACTGGGCCACACCGATAGGCGGGGACAGGGACTATCGATAGCTGGGTCGAAGAAGAAGGAGGAGGAGGAGAAACACAAAACCAATTGTAAAAAAAGTGAAAAATTTAAGGAAAATTCAAAAGGGATTTCCTCCCAACCACCACCTGCCGAGAACTACCTTTTAACACTAGGATTTTAGGACTACAAACGAGAATTTTGCACCTGCTAGCACGCACTCAGCTAGAGCTCTCACCCACACAAACCCAAAATCGTCATTCCCCCTTTTTTTTTTTTTGCGAAATCCAAGACGAAGGCCACAACAAATGCAGATTGGAGCTTGATTGGTGTACGATTACTGCCTAGTCACGAGGGATCAGCAAACTATAGCCCATATAGACTATAGTTTTGGGGTAAATACCGCCATAACAAAGCAAGACATCAAAACGAACAACAACCATGTCCGTGAGGACAAAGGTTCTGGGTTTGGTGGACGTGATGATGCGCGTGCCGCCGGTGATGGTCATCGATGAGATCCTGAAGATCGGCATGGGCCTGCCCACGCGACTCTATCCGGAAAAGAGTCCCGGAGGAATAGCCGCCAGCGAAAGCCCGCCCACGGAATCCCCACCAGAGTCCAACCAAGATCCCTTCGCCAGCATCAAGGAGTTCTTTGGCCTCGGCGGCGGAGACGGCATCCCGCCAATGACCTCAGCCGCCGTGGGTGCCGCTCAATCTGCCCTGGAACAGACCATCGAAAATGCCTCCAGATCGGCGCAATCGCACGGCATGCTCAGCTCCGGCTTCAACTCGCTGATGGACGAGCTGTCCCACGACGAAACGCTGGCGGATGTGCTCAGCATCACCACGGTCAAGTTCGTCATCTGCCTGTTCGGTGAGTCATCTCAAAAGGGACACTTTTCCTTACCTAGGGCACTTGGAATACTATTAACACGTCATTTTAAAAGAATCCGGGTTAAAGTACTACTACTATTTCAAGAATATGCTTTCTAGACTATATTATCTTAATGTACCCTAAGATAGACATGGATATGTTAGCTTATTATCACTGACCAAGAATAACATAAACATGGTCAGTAACATACACGTCATATTATTAAAAGACACGCAGCAATCCAATATTTGTATTTTTATTAGGGTAATAAGATTAATTTTGTTTACAAAAAGAATGTCAGTGATATATTAACATATTTTTGAACTATTAATTGTGTAAATAATTTTAAACACACCTGTATATCAGGCCAAAGACATTATTCTTATAACGACGATCAGCAAATTTAGTCAAATCATTATAATTATCATTTAACTCCATAAAAATCACTCTGAATAATATGTTTCGCAGAATAGAATAAAGTGTTTAAATAACAACGTGGGCCAAGCGGATAGTTACAATTGTAATTTAAAATTACCCAAAAAGACCACATGAAATGTGAATGATTGATTGTAAGTTTTAACGTATCACAAAATGCAAGCATTATTTTGATTACAGCCCAAAACGTAAACAAAGTCAATGAAATTGTTTAAAGTTCACTGTTTTCGACCTGCTGACGAAACCATCTAATATTCCAAGGGCCGCTTATCGGGCGTACTTTGAACAGCACTAAAACGCAAATGCTTGACTCAATATTATCGTTTTGTTGCAGGTTTCCTGTCCGCCGCTTGCATCTTCATGCTGTGGACCCGTCACCTGGTGATGGTCTACATGTTCCTCACCTCGCTCGGCCTCACCTTCCTGTCCTACTGGTCCAACGTGAGTGCCCTGGCGCTGATGGAGCGGAGTCCCAGCATACTGGAGGACCTGATGTCGCTGAACACCACGAGATTACTGGACTCGGGCGGGGTGGTCATGTCGCTGGCGCCGCATCTGATGGCCCAGTGGTTCATGGGCATGCTGTTCGCCTACATCCATCTGGGTCCAAGACTGGAGCTGCTCCAGAAATCGATGCCCATCATCTTCGCTAGTCCAATCCTGGTGGCCATGCTGCCACTGCCGCCGAAAGTGGTGCAACACCTGCCCGTTGTGGCCGCCTTCACGCCCATCATCCTCACCAAGATCACGCTGCTGCACAGCGCCATGGAGGCCAGTCGAACGGTCTACAATGGGTATCAGTATGCCATGAACTTTGTGTCCAACTTTGGACTGTCGGCGCTCATCGAAAACGAATGGCAGCGCCTGAATGTGCCCAATGTGCTGCGGGTTTTCTGGACCATCAGGTATATATTTCTATAATTTATGTTAATTATGCACATGGCACATTCTAATTTTTGCACTTGGAGCGCTAATGTGTCAGTGGAACATGGCCACTAATCACCTTGTTTTCGAATTAGTCATTAATGGCCTGAGAAACCAGTACCTCTGCGATAAAGACATAATAAACTAATAAAATCTCAAATGTTTTAGGATCATTCAAGGCGGCTATGCTTTGGCCACGACGGAATCCGAGGAGCCACTGGAACTGATGCCGGCTACACAAAAGCTCCTCGTCGATGGCTGTGAAACCCTGACGGCGGTCTTGGGAATGACGGGCGTCATCTCGATGATCTGCCACTACATCGGACGCGGCTTCCAGTGGTACCTGCTCACCTACGACAATGACGAGGAGAAGTCGCTGGGCACTGTCTCAGCCGTTCTTTTCTACATCCTGGCCCTGCAGACGGGCTTGACCTCCCTGTCGCCGGACAAACGCTTCATTAGGCTGTGCCGCAATCTCTGCCTGCTGATGACCGCTCTCCTGCACTTCCTGCACAACATCGTCTCGCCCATTCTGATGTCGCTGAGTGCGGCACGGAATCCCTCGCGGAAGCGACACGTGCGCGCCCTCACCGTCTGCGCCTTTCTCGTGGTGATGCCCGTCTCCCTGCTCTACTACCTCTGGTCGCAGCGATCCATCTCCACCTGGCTGCTGGCGGTTACCGCCTTTTCCGTCGAGGTGATCGTAAAGGTTCGTATCTTATTTTTATGACTTGAAAGAGAGGATCAGATCAATCCAATTTAAATAAATAGATTTAGTTAAATATAGGAGGTTTACCTCAGACTTCAAAAAGTTAATAAAGTCAAACAGTTCAATGACGTCAATTGCCGGCTATTAATTTAATAATTAATATATACATATTTGTTCATGAAGTTAAATCAGCCAATCGAAAGCTAACCTACTTATTAAATATAAATAGATTACTAGGTAATCTTTTAATTAAATATCAATATGTTACCATTACTCGTTTAGTAAAAAACACTACGCACTACGTTAATTTTTTGCAAAATCAGCCTAATGTCTGCCCTTAGCTAGTCGTAGCTGAATATTATATATATTCAGAGGTTTTTATAATTGCACTGCATTATTAGCAATAAATTGCTACACATATTCTTGATCTCCATTAACAACAGAGTCCATTTAGCCATGTCAATTTAGTCTCTTACGTATAAAACTTTGACAATAGTGTTCTTATTATTGAAGGTAGTTTTAAGTCCTACTACACCTCACTAATTACATATTCTCCCGCAGGTGCTCGTTTCGCTGGCCACCTACACACTCTTCCTGCTGGACGCCCGGCGCCAGTTCTTCTGGGAGAAGCTGGACGACTACCTGTACTATGTGCGTGCCTTCGGCAACTCGGTGGAATTCTGCTTCGGAATCCTGCTGTTTATCAACGGTGCTTGGATCCTGATCTTCGAGTCGGGTAAGTTGGTGTCCAGTGTCCCTCGTCCTGGTTACATTAACACATGAGTAGGCAAACCCATTGCCGCAATCGATTGGCCTATTTGTTCATCGGATCCGGGGTATCGAACCTCGAATCCTCATCGTTCCGTGTCCAGCTTTTCTGTTCTGTGTGTGCATGTAATATTTTTATTTGGTTGATTTGGTGTACCGATAACTATAACTTGATAGCCCAAAATGCTACAGGCGGCGCCATCAGAGCGATAATGATGTGCATCCATGCCTACTTCAACATCTGGTGCGAGGCCCGGGCAGGATGGTCGGTGTTCATGAAGCGGCGTTCGGCGGTCCACAAGATCTCTGCCCTGCCAGAGGCAACTCCTGCCCAGTTGCAGGCATTCGACGATGTGTGCGCCATTTGCTATCAGGTGGGTTTTTGTCCTTTATTTCAGATTCTTATATACTAACGCCCTATGGTTTTCCTTACCCTATTTAATTCAGGAAATGTACTCGGCCAAGATCACGCGGTGTCGTCACTTCTTCCATGGCGTCTGCCTGCGCAAGTGGCTGTATGTCCAGGACCGTTGTCCCCTGTGCCACGAGATCATGATGTACACGGACAAGGCGGAGGAGAACGCACAGGAAGCGGAGCCAGCGGCGGCTGTCCAGGCCGAACAGCCACTTCGTATTTACCCGCGAGACGTGAGTACAATATGAAGGGGTTTCTTCTAGTTACATTAGAAGTTTATATTAGAACGTACATGCAAGCACAAGCAAATACCCTACAAGAGAATTCCCTTTTAAGAAACTAATATCCGTTGTCAAATTAGCATTTTTTTATTTAAATTTAGCCCTTACCCTAAAAATAGCCTGTAATTATAAGGAATTTTACCACCAATTATCTTTTGAATGCTCCTATACATTAAATTCAAGTAGCGTCATCAATTTCTTGAAATTCGCAAAAATGAAATTAATTTGTTGTTAAACATTTATTAAATATTGTTAATTTGTTTGTATAAATTTTAAGTCCATCGAGAACAAACAAATATAGAAATTAGCTTACCAAAAAAACTCCTATAAGTTTAGAAAATATGGAAATCAATATTTGTGGTTTAAAACTCCAAAAATTGTTTCCAAAGAAACAGTCGCTGACAGAGACCTTATATAAAGTGAAAATATAAAAAAATTATAATAAATATGCGGCTTTCGGCAACCTTTTTAGTTTTTACAATGTGCTTAAGACAGCTTGAGATCAGGGAGGAAAATCAAAACATGTCAATATCAAAGCGTTTGCACCTATTGTTTGTGAAGTATGAAACTTGTACATATATTGATAAGTGTTTACCTTTTAGGACGGAAACAACGCTGGTGCGCCGCGACGCACCCCAGAGCGTGTTCCAAACGAGATGCCAGAGGCGGCCACCACCTCGTCCAATGCGGCAGCCATGATTGGAGCGGAGGCAGCTGCGGCCATTGTGGACTCGGCAGCGGCTGTTGGCGAGGCGAGATCCCTGGCCAACGTGGCCAGCAGTGGCAGCCAGCGAATCAGCGCCAGCGGGAGCAGCGACAGCAGCTTCATGACAGCATCCGCCCAACCTCCGCCGCCGACGGCCACTTCGGCTGCCGCTGTGGCCACGGCGGCGGCCAGCAATACGACGCACATGTTCCGGATGTCGCAGGACCAGCAGTAAACGGATCTGATCTGATCGGAGCGAAACGAAACGGAACGGGAGCGCTCGGCGTACCTTGTCTATCTTCTATATCTTACCACTTGGAAATGTTCTGTGTGTTAGTGTACTTATGTAAAAAAAAACGCGAATCTATTCCTTTCAAGAGCAATCTGACCCTACCACACGACGACAAAACACTTCCTAGCACACAAACACACACACACACACACACCTTCGATCCTCATAGGCACAGACATTTACGTATATATATACAACACACACGCAGCCATGCTTAATTAAATTATATACCATGCATATAATAGCGCGCTGAACGATAATAAGACGATAATTGAACCAGAGATCTATGTACGTTAAGTTTACGGTAAAAGTTGATCCAAAAATGTTGAAACACACACAAAAAAATGTAGCCCTAAGTTTGCAGCGGATAAAAACAGTGTAAAAAAAATACCATTTGGCGGATAAAGAAAACACAAAAACGATAAACATTTTATGTGGTGAAGTCTGAAAATGATTTAATCAAGTTACCAATTAAATCTAGTTAAAAACATAACACGAAATCAGCATAGATAAAAAATGAGAGCAAAACGAGAAATTGCGTTGTATAATTTTGTAATGTAAAAATAACTTGAATAAGAGAAATCCTTGTTTTGTTTTTTATTTAAATTACCTATGTACGTTTATTTAGATTTAATGTAATTAAACGAAAGAAGCGGAAAATACAGAAAACATCAAAAAACAGTCTAATGTAAGATAAAACACACACAGAAACAATTGTGTTGACTTTTGACTAGATATATGGGTGTTTCAGACATCGTTAAACAATAATATTAACATGAACTACAGTGCGTTTCATTGCTACTTTATGATATACCGGAAAATACCCATTTTCTTTGTGTCATTCAGCTTTGAAACGCACTGAATATCAGTTCAATATTCAGTTGAAAATCAAATCATTGTAGTTGCGGAGCAGGTGATATGGAGACACGCGGCAACAGGTGGTAGTCCGGACCACAGTGATTCGATCGGCACGTTCGAAATTGGCCTTAACCGTCTCATAGTAGCGACCATCGCTGCGAACAAAATAGTGATATAAAGAGGTTTTCGAAATTTAAAATCAAACCAAACTCACCTGAGAACCATGCAGCGTAACTTGAGGCATTTGACACGCAGTATATCGATGGCCTTCTGGCTTTTGTCCGAGAATCGCAGGTTATCCGGATCCCAGCGCAACTCCAGGCGCTCCAAGTTGCCGCAATTGGAGGCGATGGTGTCCATCAGCTGGTCCACATGGATGTTGACTCCCAATTTCTCAGCAGTGCCCATGACAATGATCCTTTGGTGGTCATTTTATATAAAACATTAATGTTATAATATAAAATATCTTATCTTACTTGCAGTTGCCCAGCAGCGGAAGAATGCTCATCCACAATTGATCTGTGATGTGCGGCATCCCGGAGAGGCAACAGGCACTCAGCTGGTGACCCTGCCGCTGGACAAACTTAAGCAGACCCTCATCCGTGATGTTGTCCGAGGAGTCGAGATCCAGGGAAATAAGGGATCTAAAGGGTAATGATTTTCACAGAATAATAAATAAATGTAATTATGGGTATGGGTTTCAGCCCACCTGGTAGTTCCCGACTCCATCCATTGCTTCAGAACGCTGTCATTGAAACCATTGATTTGTCCGGCAGATAGGAACTTCAAGCTGGGTATCCTGGTCAGCATGTCCACCAGGCACTCGGGCGAAAGATCCGTGGCCGTGATGTCCAGCTCTTGCAGAGCGCACTTATCCCACTCGGCCTGCATCACGAACTCGGACTTGAGGCTGGTGCCATTCATCAGGAGGCACGTTAGGCGCTTCGATCGCTGGATGAGGGTCTTCAGAGTGGAGCCGGTGACCTTGTTGCAGAAGTTAACGGCCAGACACTCCAGCTGGATGCAGTTGGAGCTGAAGGCATCGATGTGGGAGTCGTCGATGAAGTTGATGCCATACAGATTGATCACCCGCAAATTGGGCGTGGCCGACTTGAGTTTGTGCACATTGATGACCTCGTAGATCTCCTCCTCCTCCTCCTCGCACTTCTCGTAGGTGCCTATCAAGTGCAGCACCTCCAGTCCGTTGATGAAGTTGTAGATCTTGCGCATGAAGCCCTCCATGAAGATCACTTCGGACAGGCAGACGCACATGTACCGCAGTTTGGTGGGAAAGGCCTGCATCTCGCTGAAATCGTGCAGTTGCATGGCTAATGAATACCAATAGTTAATTAAATAAATAAATTTATCAACAACTAAATAGAAAACCAACCTGTGGAGAAGTCCAGCAGCATGTGGGTGAGATTCGGACACTTGGCAGACAATTCGTGGAGCACTGTGTGCGTGATCAGCTCGATGGGCAGTTCGATGTACCGGAGCGTGGGACCAAATCTCACCGAGATTAGCTGCAGCAGCATCTCCAGGGAGCCCACATGCAGTCCAGACACCTCCGGCCGCAGCGAAACATTCTTCCAGAGACGCGTATCGTAGGCAATCTGGCGCCACCGACGACAAATCCGGGCCAGGCGACAGATCTCCCGGTGCGACAGATACGAGAAGATGTGCAGCAGCACCTTGTCGGGCAGCTTCTCGATGGTCTACGGGTGTGAACACATATTTCAGATACACAGAAAACAAATTAAAACCCTATATCTATTTTGATAAATAAATAGAACAAATAATCCCATTTTTTTCTAATTTGAGCTAATTATACCACAATTATTAGATTTGATTTAATAAATAATTATAATAAGTGATTTTCACTTGTTGTACAAATTAATTTGATTAACTTTTTTCTTATTTATTTTAGAAATAAACAATCCAAATAGAGAATATTACTTTAAAAAGTTATTCCAATTTTAGCTGGCTTTATTTAAATGAAAATTGACTTTTCAGATAAAATTCCTAGTTATTAATATTGATTTTGACTTTAATTTTGTTTAAAAAAATAAAAAAGTAAAGGAAGAATTATTATTGAAAGATTATATATTTATTTGAATTAAACGATATAAGAACCCTTTCCACCAAATGATTTTTTTTTCATGATCCATATTGTTGCTCACATGTCCATCTGGTTTTTATATGTTTTCAGTTTGAGTGTATTTTTTGGTTTTCTCTTTTTCTCAGAGGGATATTCTCTCCTAGTTTTTTTTTTAGTAAGGTGATGAGTGAGGACTCAAAGTAATATTGAAAACTCGATGTACCGTATCGGCGAAGGGACTGCGAACTGTGCCATCGGACAGGTAAACCTGCGAAGCCTCGACGGCCAGCTGACCCCAGATGTCCGTGGAAATGTCCATGCCTCAGGCCACTCGGCTGTATGGTATATGGTATATGAAATATATAGTATTGATTCGAAAGCACTTGCTTATATAAAAAAAATATAGGTAGGAACCGAGATAAACTACGCGTGGTCGGGCCTGCCAGCTGAATATCCGTCGGTCTGAGCTACTTTCGCGCTACTGCGAGTGGGCATCCCATCGACGTCGCCATCGGAATCTCCAAAAGAACCGCCAGGCAATTGACTCAAGAGAACCAGGCTACTATTTATAGACGAGCGCTAGTAACGAGAGCAGTGGCAGATCTGTCTCGGATGCATCAGCTGTTTGTTCATGGGACCCGCACCACTCACGCACTCTCCCAGAACCACCGAACTACCAACCAAGCACCCGACCACCAAGCCACCCACCCGGTGGTGCACGACAAGAAAGATCACCACATCATCAAATCAAGTGTTATTGTCTTCTAATATGTTACTTATCAATATTTATGTTACTTACTTCTAGTACTAAATATTATCCTATTTTAAGTTTACTGTAGTATGTCTTCCAATACCTCACTCCTAAAAAAGTCATAAAAACTATAATATATTCTTGAAAGTTATGAAATATTTTTTTGTATTTATATTATTACATCCAATTTTTTCGTCTTATGTCTAGAAAACTAAAGACTTTTTAAAATATCTAATTCAATCAATGTGTTTGCTCAATTTCTCAATGAGTAAAAAATCTTTACCCTAATTGGTAAATGTATTACTTTAAAAGGTGTTTTAAAGACTATTATGTTTCCAAATTGAGAATTATTTATTTCTTACAGTGAATAGTTGCTATGATAACCGAAATTAAAAATATTTCTTAAGTCTTTTTTATTTCTGACGATCATTTTTGTTTCGAAAAACGTTACAACTTATTTCTCAGTGGAAATAAAATGTATAAACGCATGTTGTTTGTTGCCAAGAGTTCTATATACATGCAGATCGGTCGGCTGGGTTTGTTTTGTTTACTATAGGTACATAGATCGGTACATAGACAAAGTACTTACCAGTCGCGTCTTCACCGTCCCAGAATCGTGAAGTCCGATGGCCTGCGAAGAGGTTTGCGCTGCCAAAACATTCCAATTATCCATCGTGGGCACTGGGCACTGACAGTGGCTAACTTTTGGATCGGATCAGCCGGGAAATTGTCTGTGTGTACTGTTGTATAATATATAGTTTCTCTGGATCCGTGTAATTATGCTTCTATCTAGGGGAAATAGGAACGCTGGCGCCGAATTGTGTCGAAGTGGGTGAATTTTGCAGACGACGTCTATAAGGAGCACAAGCATTCACGAAATAAGCAAAATTCTAAGGGGTTTTTCTGATTAGTCACAGTTTTTGGCTGTTTTTTAAGAAAATTTTCCAAATTTTTACAAGATTGGAAAATTTGTTTAAAATTTTACGAACTACCAAATATTATATTTAACCGTTTGTTAACATTAATAATTGATTGGTTTGGCAAAGATTACACCTTAAAAATATTGAATAAAACCATCCAGCAAATATTAAAATCAAACCATTAGCCAATGATTTCGGTTTTGTAAAATAGAGTAACATTCAGATAATAATAATATTTTTATGAACTTTATGTAAAAGAGCTTCATGCATAAATCAAGCCACAAGCCATTCCTTAACTAGTTAAGTAAATAAAAGCGACACAAAAGCACATAATTACCCATTTGATTAATTGATTAAACAAGATTTGTTAGACACTCTACAAATAAATGAACACGAGAACAAAAGCAATTAATCAATTACTTGTTGCCTTGCCTCGAATTGCAGTCAGTACATTAAAATAGCCGATTTACAACAATAGCACAGGCAAATTATGCAAAATTTAGTGAACATCGTTGTTGTGATCTTTTGATTTGCGAGTACACATCAAAATTCTGTTCACCCTTTTCCTAGGTTATTTTTAGTCGTATTCGTGTGGTTTTCTGGTCGCAAATTTGTGAGGTTGCAACGCTTGAAAATCACAAGAAAAAAAAAAAAAAGGAAATGCAATTTCGTAACTTTCACAGAACAATGTTGGGGGTTCGAAATACTTGGCAAATTGGACTTAAGGTTTCACTTTTTCGATGGCAAATTACTGGCAGATTGGTGGCAAGAATCCGGCGGAAATCTTCCGCAATTGGTGTAATTTTCCGCGTACTTGACGGCTCCACAACTCTCTGGCAACTGAGAAAATCAGGCGTCCGCGGAAAATGGTTTATGCCAAAATCCACTCGGCTAGTTGCTCGTATTATATGGGTGGAAATGGAGGGGTTATTGGGGGACGATCTCTGTACAAAGAGCGAGTGCAGGCGTCATTTGGCGCAGTCGGCAGACATGGCATGCATATGTTGTTCCCATGGCGCCCGGCCAACAGAGGATCACACCCCGATCGTTAGGAAACAAATATAGTAATATCTATTATTTTTACATCCAAATTAGCCTGTTTCATGAATTAGTTAGCACAGTTGACTACGCAAAAGAAACGGAAACATTCGAATTTTAAAGATTATGATCTGATAACATTTTATTTCTCCACAAATCTTTTAATCCATCCATCCAATGTATTTCTAGAAGTTGGTATCGTTTTACAGGTCTAAGCAAAAAAATAAGCATAAAATACATGCAAGCAAAGATTTTTTTTGCTACAAATTATTATTATCTTACAAATTTATTCTGAAAATTATAAATTAGTTTTACCAAAATGTGCCGATTTTGAGTGATTGATTTTGGTTTCAATAAGATATCGACAAGAATTATTTGCAGACATAAAGAATTGCATTTTAAATTGTTCTAAAAATTATCTTTAAATTATATTTTCTATAAAACCTTTAAAAATTATTTAAAAGTAGTAAGCTTTGAAGTTTTAAAAACCTGCGTGCATACAAAAGAAGAAAACTATTAAGGGTCACTTTAAAGACACATAAAATAATAATTCTAATCGCAATTAACTGAAAACAAATTTAAATTCAAACGAACCGGCGCTGCCAGACTGTTATTTTTTTCATTTCGTACAATGGCAGCCCTGTTCTGATCAGAAACCATTGCCATAACAACGTTTTTTTCATTCGTTTGTTTGCCTCTCAACCGTTCAGTTGTCTCTCTCTCTGCGCTGCACCTGCGCTGCTCTCTTATTCCCTCTCCCAGTGATATCGATAAACGTAGGTGTGCCTGCAGTGCGCCTGTGTGCGTGTATGTGTCAGCACTGGAGTTTAGTTGTTTATTTGTTAATTCTGTAAGAACTGTAATATTAAAGTCAGCTTTATAAACAATAATCAGCTTTTGCTAAACGAAAGTTAGCTGACCAGCAGGAAATCGATAATACCAAATGAAATAACAAAGTTTGTTTATATTTGGTACAGTGCGCGTTGCAAGCAGTTTTGTGGATGTGTGTGTGTGTTTTGAAGAGAGACGCCCAAAGAGTTGTTGTAAAAACTATCGAAGTTGTAAACTTTTTATTCAAAACAAATGCTTTAAGCAAGAATCCATACAAAATAACATATTTTCGCATCTTGAAATAATGTAAAGAGATATTAAGTACGATTGACTGGGTTTACACCATGAACCTAAAGTTTTATGGTGCTAAGGGTGGTCACATGTGAAAAGTGTTATCATTTCAAAGCAGTTATTATAAAAAATCTTTAAAATATAAAATTTTTAAGAGTTTTGTTAATATACAATATCATTTCTTGTTTTTGGATTATGTTGATTTGAATATGTATAGTTTTTTATATAATATTGTTTTAAACTAATAAATAAATAATAAGTTCATTCGTTGCCGGAAAAATAAACAACGAAAATAATCTGAATTCCCTTCTAAAAGATTTAGAAAGACTTTGAAAATGTTGATAGTCCTAAATATCACGTTTTATGTACAATTTGTTCTGTAATAATAACATTTGCATGCATTTATTTGTTGCCTGAAAGATAAATATAGAAATGTTCTTTCCCCTTAAAGGAAATGCAAAGCGAGTTTCTGACCACCCACAAATTCCCCTTAAGCAATTGCAGTAAACGAATTAGGTGTAATTACAATTATGCGGAATTAGAGTGCTCAAAAAGTGCCCAATTAATTAGGTCTAACCCAATTTACTGCCTACCCCACAAGACCACAAAGATCTTGAAGATTTATACATGTTTTTCCATATTTGTGTTGCTTGATATAAGTTTTAAAATATTAAAAAAAAAGGTTAATCTGATAAAGTTATACAAAAAATAATGTTTTTAATTTTTAAAATTTTTATATCGTTTAAAATGATTTGAATTAAGTTTAAACTACTGAAAGGTTGACCCCAGTTAGTTATGGCTATCTATTAAAAAATAGTTAATATTGCTTATTTGTTTTAGGCACTAAATCCACCGATCATCTAGTTGCCAAGATGTCATACGCAGCGGAGCGAGCATTATCCTTTCTGTATCCTCTGGCGATCGTGTCCTCGCTAATCTGCTGCATCACATCGGCGGTGGCCTGGACACACTGGCGGTACGTCCTGAATGCCTGTCCGGACACCAATTGCGGATGTGTGCTCCACAGCAGGAGCACGTACAACAGCTTCGAGGGCGGGAACATCGCCTATTGCCACTACGCCACCTATGGACTGCTGCTGCCGCTGATCTTCGCCGTGGTGCTGGGCATCTATCATGGATATCGGATGTGCATTGGGCGTGGCAAGCCCAAGGCGGGCACAGCCACCATCCGGCAGCGGTGAGACTTCTAATTCCGATCGGGTGTCTGGGGTCAAGTGGGTTAATCGGCTTGCCACATTTGTTTGCTCGCCAACATGGGGCGTCTGGTTTGGCCTTATGCTAATGATGACCACTCTGCGGATGAGTAACGCGGCAATATGTGCCAGACCCCATTAAAACAATTTAAAACCGGCGAGGTTTTTAACAAAAAGTGTCTTGAGACAACTTAGCTAAGGAAGGAAATGTATTTAAAAGAAATGATCGTGTGCTTTATCATAATATTTATTTTAATAACAGCTTAGCTGAGATCCGTTTTAATTATTATATTACAAAAATGATTGCTTAATTACTATGAATCAAACCTAATAGACATTTTTAATTGAATTTAAGATTAATATAAATTAAGACATTATGACCTTTGGGTTTTGAGTTTTGCTGAGTTCCGTTTAGCTTTCAATAAATGATGGCTAAGTAACTAAATATTTATATATTATACATTATAGACATTATTGATTGAAATCAATTTAATTAATAATACGTTTTTTCTCATTTGTTTCCAATAGTTCTGGAGACATGATGGTGGTGACCACCGAGTCTGAACTAACTCCCGATGGCCTATCTCCTTACTATTGTAAGTTTGTCAATATTAAAGGTTGTTCGATATAATAACTAATTTCATATTATAATTTTAGGGCTCCCTGCCACCGTAATCTCAGTTATCATGGCCATATACCAACTGATTTACTCTGCCATATTTACGGACGGTTTCGAGGTGACCTGCAAACAGTACAGGGAATCACTTTTGAAGGAAATCCAGGGCGTGGGCAACATAGTGCCCGTGATCAAAGGACGATTGTCCTGTGCTGCTGTCTTTGATTTTATGGACTATTTGGTGGAGAGTGTATCCTACGAAAGGAGGCGTTATGGACGTATTAATACCGCGGCATGCCTTTATTTCACTCTGGTTTTCGCCTGGATAGCTCTGTTCGCCTGGTTGATCATTTGTGTCATCAATATCTTCAACCTGCGACGCACAAAAGCCGCTAGAGTTTGAAAATGCCAGGCATTGGATTAACAGGAGCTGGAAAATCCTGCCCACATTCAATTGGAATGCATACAATAAGAAATTCCCCACGCACATTCGCCTTATATTTAATCGTAGCCTTACGAAGCGCCACTTATTTATTAGTAATCACACAATTACGTCCACGGTTCAAGCCGCCATCAAAACACATTGTACAAAAAAATGTATGAACAACGAACGATTAATTAAATCACGATATAATTCTTAATTCTCGTTTTTTATTTGATAACGGACCAACAAATTACAATTGTTTAGTTATCACGACGACTATAGGACAGTTTGGATTTTAATTGTTAGAAAATGTACCCACATCTCAAAATTAATTTTATCCTATTAAAACCTAAAAATTAGACTTTTTAATTCAAATTTTCCACAAATTTTAATCATCTTTTATTTTTCGGTTTTTTTTAGAATTCTTAAAAACAAAGATTTAAAATGCCATTAACGTCATTCAATTCATCCCTTAAAAAAATCCATGTATTTATTAATAATTATTTCAGTGTCTGTATTTTTTCGGATTTAATCTGGACAAATGTGGGCAGAAAATTCAAAATATCAATACATTTTTTTTAGGAAAATAAGTTGTTAAAAAATTGTTGGGTCATAAGGCTTATAAAATAAAACAAAACTAATAATGGATTTAGTAGTAAACGTCTCCATTTACTTTGAAAGGAAAAGAAGCCATTTAAAAGTGTACCTACTTAATTACCTATCTAGGCACAGTAACGGTATTCTAGTATATTTTATATAGACTGACTAAGGTATTTTGTTATATACACGGTCACACTGTTTATATGCTGACGTGCCGCAAAGGAATTGTTTACGTGAAAACTAGCTGGTTTAAAGGAAAATTTCAAACAAAATGCTGGACATACAGACACATATGGTATGTCGTTGATAATCCTGATTCCTTAGATATTTAACTAACCTTTTAATCGCAGGACTTTGCTGGCCAGGGAAAAGCCGAGCGTTGGTCTCGCTTTATCATCACATTTTTTGGAGTAATCGGCTTGATCTACGGCGCATTTGTGCAGCAATTTTCGCAAACTGTCTATATCCTTGGAGTCGGATTTGTGCTCTCCTCCTTGGTAAGTTTCTTGTCGTATTAACATCTTCATTTATAACACCCCATTAACCGGTTTTAGATCACCATTCCACCCTGGCCCTTGTATCGCCGTAATGCTCTGAAATGGCAAAAACCCATCGACACGGATGCCAAATCGTCCAGTTCCGAGTCCGGTGATGAGGGCAAGAAGAAGAAGAAATAGTCTTAGCCAACAGTAATGTGTATTTCTCACTATCCAATATATAATATATACATAGAAAACTAAATGGGACGTCGATAGGATATTAGATCGTTATGGTCATAGTACTTGTGAATGAGATCATACATATTGGCGAAGAAGAACAGAAGATTGTCATATTGTCCATTGTAGGGAGACATCCTATCTATATCCTCCATGTGAGTTTCGATCTTTAAAGGTGCTGCCAGTTGATGGAAGCCTTCGGTAATCTCAAGATTATCCAGTCCTCTGTACGAAGAGCTCAAACCCCAGGCATTGATGTGCACTTCGAGGAGGAACTGGTGAACAGCTTCGATCGTGGCCAGATACCAACGTGGACTTCCCCGCTGATGGCGCCAAAACTGGGATAATCTATTCTGTAGGACTACGGTTCTTAGGTTGCGAATCCTCTCGTCTGCGTATATTCCGCGACTCTGGTTCCACGTGCTGTCTATGAAGACAGCTCTACGAATGGGCAGGTTCTCCAGATTCCATGTTTTCTTCGGCGATTCCTGATCCTTCGCATGAGGCTCCTGCACCTCGACCTCATCCATTCGTCTCCGCAGCATGGTTCCCATGTGGTGACCCTTTGGCAGGCCATAGTTATCTCCTATCTGCAGCTGGACATTCCGCTCGAAGAGCTGAGGAACCGTCAGGGCAGTGGCACTGGGAAATATTAGAACCACTCCGGGTTCCTCCCGATAATCGGGAATATCCGGATAGGTGTGAATCCTCACGTGTTCCGGCGCCAAAACAGCCGCATGCACAGCCGTACTTTTGCCGTCTATTTCCTTCTTGTGTTTGATTATGTCTATTTTGAGTGGTAACGCAATGCGGGGCAGGACTTCCTCCAATTCTCCCACCGGTATATAGCAACTGTAGCAGAAGAACTTGCGTGAACGATTGCACAATTTGCAATTGTGGCGGCCCTCAATGGAATCCAGTATTGTGTGATCCGAAATCCGCATATTTACAAAGGGATATTTGCGGGTGCGTTGCTGCGGCTCCAAAGGATGCGACATTTTCCGCAAAGATCCCTTTTAAATATTCAAAACAATAGGAAAAACTTTTTTGTTGTGGAAATGACCAATAAAGTTATCGATAACAATCAGCTGAAGCTAGCCAGGGATGGCGATTACACTACAAACATGTGGGCTGGAATATCCCAATTGCGAAGTAAAAATCATGTAGGATGTAAGGTAAAAACTCGTTGTGTAAAAATAGCTTTAAGTAAAGTGAATATTCTTCAGCGAAAAAAGACTGGCTTGGAACTTCAAATTATAAGATGTATTTTCATATAGCGTATATTCCAACTCTATAAAATCAGAACAGTGCTAGAAGCAGAAAAACAATCATATAGGCATAATGAACTTTTCCCTTTTATCAGAAAAAAGGAAAGTTAAAAGCGAAGACAAAACAATTATCATTTAGAAAAATATTATGTCTTGCTCAGAAAAGTAAAAACATCAATTTGATTTTCCTTTTATTCTTTTAAGTAAAAATTGTAATGGAAGATTTCTGAAATTTTTCAAAAAACCGTTACAAATAGTTAATCAACTTCAAAGCATGATAGCCCAGCCCTCAATTAATCGATAACATTGCAAGCTGGTAAGTTTTAGCATTTCACCGACGGTCACACTATTCGAAACAAAACAAAAGCCGGCAAAATTTTGCAGAAAATAATTAAACAGATGTTTTTCGGTTAAGGAAATGCAAAAAAAACTATGCGTGGCGTTCGAAAGTGTGCTCACTGTGGGGCCGTGAACGGAAATCGCGCTCAGTTCTGCCGGAATTCCGATTGTCCGCAACGCAGGAATGTCCTTGACGCCGTCCAGTTGGTTTCATTGCGGCCAGGTTCCACTGTCTACTCCTTGAGGGCCAAGGAAAAGGAGCAGCAGCCCCGGAACTTTGTGGTCGTACAGGATGTCACTCTGTCCCTGCAACCAGATGCTGCAGTGGTGTCCAGCAAAGCCGAGTGCTACGTGGAGTCCTGCAACAAGGCACCAGGGGAATCCTTGGACTGTGTGCATGTTAAGGCTTGTAGAGAACTGGGCACAGAGTTCCCGAAGGCCCAAGTGTACCGGGTGTCCCGAGAGGTTCTGTGGAACCTTAATATAAGTCAGGAGCAGAAGCAGCATCTCTGGCATATCTACAAATATGCCGAGGAAAAGGAGTATCTTCCTGGAGTCCAGCGCTTGAATCACACCACATTTGCTGTGAAATGCGATAGGTCTGAATCCTTTCCAGCTGCTCGTCTACACGTCACCGTGTTGGCCAATGGTCCGACCAAGAAGAAGGGCAGCTATGCCTGTGCGTGCAGGAAACTTAAGATCATAGTGGAACCGGACAACTCGCTGGTAATGCAGGATGAGATCTGCGACCATCTGTTGCTCGTTTTGGCGGGAATCCTAAGCTCGCCGCAGGGAAAACGGGTTTATGGCAACTTCACCAGTGGTTTGCAGAACTTTTGGATGCCCTCGCAGCTGGAAACTCCATTGGGAGAAGTGGAAACGGAGGATTTGCGACTCAGTATGAGCATGGTGGATGATTTCGATCCCCAGGTGGACATACTCGTCTTCGGGGATCAGCTGGATGTGAGTATCTGCCCACTTCCTAAATTCCTCTTCACATTCATCTGTTTTATACACCCGCAGCTTCCTTTACCGGATCTCACCGATGGCGTCTTCAATCTGGACAACATGCAGGCATCAAGCTCTAGTCAAAACACATCAAACACCAACGATGCCTTCATCCATTATGCCAACGATTCGCAGCTCTTGTCCAATTGCGATGTCTATGCAGAGCCCATTGAGCTAACCGACTGCAATATCGAGCTGATGGATCAGTTTCAGCCCACGGATCACATTGACATTTGCAGCGAGGACATTGAATTGCCGCTGATCAGTGAGCCTTATAATATCCTCGCTGCTCCGCCCATTTTTGCGGAGGGCACACCCGCAGTGGTCACCGATCAACTGCCCATTGAATTGGCCACTATATCGATGGTTAAAAAGGCACCTGTCAAGGTCTCAGAGATTGTGACGGAAGTCAAGTCTCGAAAGCAGCCTCCCTTGCCAGCCAAAAGGGACTTGATAGTCAACAATTCAGCTAAAGTAACTCCAGTTATAGAGAATCTCTGCTTGGATGCTTCGGTTCAGCCGGCATTGTCATACGTAGCATGGCTGGATCATGTGATAGAGCTTCTAAACGAGGGACTCGAGCCATTAGAAACTCCCAATGCTGGTCTAACAATACGTTTAGTGCAACAAAACTTTCATGTGCACAAGGTAAGCTCAAATTTACCCACCAAACTACAATTTAATCTCTTTTAAAACACTTTTCAGGAAACCTTTTCGCACTTCTGTAAGAGTTTCAGTGCGGGATTGAAACGACGTCCCTTAGATAAGTTCACTGTGATAGAATCGGGCAAATATAAAGGACTCAATAGGTACACTTGGCATTTTTCGTCTTCGCACACCGTAAAACGCATCTTTAGTACCTCAAATATTGAACTGCACTTGGAACGCGCCTTCGAGCGGCACGCAGAAGGTCATTTTGTGCCCTATGTGCGTCCAGCAATTGAGCCGCATGTTCCGGGTCAGGCTAAGAAGCGTGTTGTCTACGCCAGACTCAAGCTTTATATGGTTAAGATCATCTTCGAAACGCCTCCAAAGGTGAGTTGATACCTAAAATACCTATGATTTGATAATGGTGATACCCACCTCTCTGAAGGACCAATCCGGCAACGGAGTTCTGTTGACCTGGACGCCCGATGTGCTACCCCGCAGCCATTTCGGGCTGATGCACGTGGAGTTCACTGTAGAGACACGAGCGCCCAGCTAGGGTAACTTTGCAATTTGATGTTCTTTATTTTGACGCTTTCAATTTTGTCTGTTCCATTTATCTTTAGTCCATTTCAACTTTTCATTGGCTTACGAGTAGCTTAGGTGTACATACATATACATACATATCTTTATATATCATTAATTTTGTTTACCGCGAGACGTTGTCCGACTTTGATACCGGATCCTCTTGCTTCAATGGCCTCTACAAGCTGCGGGAAAGTCCCTACTTTCTGGGTCTGCAAGGGGGCAAATCCTTCGGTGTCTAAAATCTATGGTCTGCCTCTGGGATATTTTACTTCAACTATTTGCTTAGCTCTAAAATCGTGGGCATGCTTACTTAAGTTCTCGCTACATTCAGCTCTTTCTTACGAATTTTTATTTAATATTCCTTTTTTTTTTAATATTTTCTGTATTTTTTTTTTAATTGTTTACGCTTAACGTTGACATTCATCACATTTATAAATTGCATAACACCGTCAATTAGATAATCTGTTGTATCTGTTGTTTTGTATCGATTTCATTTACTTTAGTTAATGTGTGAAGGTAGTTTAGTCGTGGAAAGGTTTCCATTTGCTCGAAAAGTGTGTGCAGTTTTTAATTGGGGGATTTCTGTAGAACTCTGTGTAATCATTGCTCCTTTGCAATGCTGTTGATTAAGCTTTTCTTTGGCTGTGACGCAAATCACACTCATACAACATTATGTACATAATGTATAGAAATATCCACCTATAGTTTCATCGTACATACTACCATTTATGTGTTTAACAGTTAAAATGCATAATTTTTCTCAATATTTTATCGAAATAATATGATTCTTGTTGTTTATATTACAGATGAAGCATTTGTTACCATTGCCGGTGTCAGTATGAGAATTTACAAGCCTTTCTAGCGTATAAGTAGTCTTAGCCTAAGTCGGGTTAGTGCCTAAGAAACAAAATCTCACAAAAATTGGTCATTAGTTGGTTAATATGTAGAGCCGCCTATTTGGTATCAGCTGACAAATGATTGGATTGGATTGAAATGCTCTTGCTTTGATACGATCAAGATTGAAGGGTGCTCGCAACCCAATCAAACCCATCTACCGTCTATATCCTCAAGTAGTCTGACTACATTCGATTGGGTGGACACTGGATAAATCTAAGAGGAAACTGAAGGACCTTTGACATTTGTTCATTTACATAATCAGTATACATGCTTATTCAAGTTAAAGTGTACAAAAAACCAGTCTTTAAAACATGTTTGTTTATCGTTTATGTTTTTTTTTTCCATTCACATTTTACATATAAAATGTAAAAATATTCACTAACTTATTTGCGCTCTACTTGCTGTGTGTGTTGGGCAGATATATCTGACTAAATCTGGACAATTCCAAACTATACATCTCCTTAGCTAGCTCACACACAGGCAAAGCTATGGCAATTCAGAGTGCTAACTTTAATTTTAATTTTTATCCACATCCGAGGCTAATTTTAAGAACTGTACAGATTAATATTACGCCGTTTATCGGGGTCTGTTAAATATGGAAACACCCTGTGCATCGATAAGAGAAAAACAAAACATAAACTGGGTTTTTCATTGGGATTTTCTTTTTATCTCACTTTTCACATGAATTGTATATTTTAATAATACTTTGCTTGCGATTACTTTTTAACTTATTTTAGTTTTTACAATAGTCTTAGCTTGTTCAGAATGATGAGTCTTAGGTTTTTCCAGGGGTTTTCTGGCCTAAGCTTTTTTTTTACAGTATTTTCAGCTCCTTTAGAATGAAGAGTCTGCTTTTCTGGCTTACGCTTTTATTTACATTTTTTTTCGTGATGCTCTTGTGCTTGGTGCTGAAATTTTGTGATTTAGTTATTTTACTTTGGGATTTACAGTGATGTGTGGTGGTTTAAGAGGCGGTGATGTGCTCCGTGTAAAGTGCTTGGTAACTCGGAATATTTGCCTACTAAATTCGCAATTAATTTGTAGCTAAGTTTTTCTTGAGTTTGATTTTTTTGTTTTTGGTGTACTAAAGTGGAACAAATTTAAAAGCAGGCAAAAAACAATAACAGATACTAGGACGGACACTGAATCGATTCGAAATGCAAAAAGTGCTCAATCAATTACTAAGTTAACTCGGTAATTCAACTAATAATTAATATTTAATAGGAGTTTGTAGGAGCTTAAAAAATCATGGCACAAGTGTGTGCAGAATTAACCTGCATTAACGTTATTTAGATGTACTCAGCGTATATAAATGATTAGACAAATATGTTTTGTTTTTATTTAATTCTACTTGTTCAAGTTGTGCATTTTGCTACGTTTCCACTTTTAGATTTGCGATTATTTTTGTTCTTTACTGCGGTTTTTGACTTTTTCTTTTCCCTTGTGACTAAATGTAGGTAAAGTATGTGTATTAAAAACTTAGACATACGATATATAAACTTAGGGAAAGATAAAATAATTTAGATAGTATTATATAGAACAACTGAGGGAATAAATTAAAGTAAAACATGAGCTTACGCGGCAACTGAATAATTTATGGACAAGGCGCTAGACGCTTTGTTCTCACTTAAACGACTTAAACTTTAATAAATACATCGCTATGTATACGTAAATGTACGGTGTTTAAATTTAAATATTTATATTTAAACATTTATAAAATGATTTAATTTCTCTCTGTAAATTTATCTTTAGTTTAGCCTACAATATCTAAGTTTTGAGCATCTGTCGCTGCTGCATTTGTGACGTTGTTGTTGTTATTATTATTGTTGATGATCGTTGGTGAAGTGGTTGGTGAATTGTCCGCATTGTTCATCAGTAAATCACCAACATTGTTGTGATGTTGATGCGTGTTGTATTGTTGTTGAAGTTGCGTTTGTTGTTGCATCAAGGCCAGCATTTGTTGTTGTTGGTGTTCCATCAGATCAGCAGCGTTATTAGTAACAGTATGGAAATTGGCATTAGTAAGGGTTAAACTGTTCGGGGATGCGAGTGGTATTGTTGGTGTTATGGGTAGGACTGTTGTTGGTGTCGTTGGAGTCGTTGGTGTTGCAGTTGCAGTTGCAGTTGCTGGTGTTGCCGGAGATGTTGCATTGGCGACTGTGGGTGAGATCTGGTGGGACAGGTCGGATGGCGATGGCATTTGGATGGCTTGTGGGGATGGTGTTGGAGAACTTGGTTGTGGCGGTGGTGGTGGTGTGGATGAGTTGAAGGACAGTGGAGCGACTGTGGGCGGTAACAATGACAGAATGGGCAAGATGCTTGGATTAGTATCGGTTGGTGGTGTGCTGACTGTCTCATGGAGTGCTGTCTGTTGTTGTTGTAGTTGTTGTTGCTGCTGCTGCTGTGTCTCTAGGTGCTGCTGCTGCAACTGCAGCATGTGCAGCTGCTGCTGCTGCAGTATGACATGCTGTGGAACATTACCATTGCTGCATATTTTGCTATAGAGATCCGGCGTGGCCGTTGTCACATCCTCGAATTCAGTCCGAAGCGCCGTGCGCTTCAGCAGGTTCAAATTGCCAGGCAAAAATGAAAGTATATTGTAGATGACGCGAATGTCCTCGCTGGAGGTCCACACCCCGGGTCGCTTGTTGTGGTACAGCTTCGCATACTGGTACACGTTGGCTGTGCTGCAGTACTCCATCTCGATGGCCAGCGATGAGATCGCACAGAAGGTGCACGCCTGGGCGCCACCATATCTATAAAGCGAATTGATAAATTATATTAGAAAAAATCAATTATAAAAGCCTTAACTAACACTATTTCAGTGGAACTTTATTCTGTCATTTATTGATTTAAGTTTAATATTCTAAGCTATTGGTGGTAGTGCAGGACACACTCGATTGTTCATGTTCGCAGAAAAAAAAAGGTATCTAGCAGCTCCGAAATTTTCTTTTTACTATTTAAAATTTCGTAGGCAATTAAATATATTCCACATTTTTTTAGTTTCAAAAAAGGTCCACACTATCTTTGTCTAAATTTTCCAAAAAAAACCCTTTTGTGGCTTACCTATCCACAATGACAATTGGACCATTGCGGTAGTCATTGCAGCGCTCGTGCACATCCACGATAAAGTCGTAGATGCTGTTGGGATTGGACATCTCCGGCCAACTGGGACAGTGCAGCATTTTGACCGTCAGCTCGTAGTCGTCCTGTATCGACTGGATAACAAAGTCGCGGCTCACATAGTCGCTTTTGTTGGTCTTGTTTAGATACTTGACGCGATAGTGATCGCTCTCGATGGGCGTGGCCTCATCCGGCCAAAACTGGGCAAAGTTCTGGAAAGAAAACATAAATTAGCTACATTTTTCAGAAGAAAAACATGTAGAAAAACTAATAGAAACGTTTTTCTTTTATTCATATATGCAGTACAAAAACCCTTAAACCAATTGAGATATTTCGAACCCTTTCCAGATACTTACTATATCATCCAAGGATGAGAGCAGCACGACTGTCTGTGCATTGTGGTCCCAGACCATCTGCCAGAAGTCCTTTATCGTGTGCGCCATGGGATGTTGGGTGACGATGAAGTCCCTTAGTCTCCGGAAGCCGTGAAGCCACGAGGCGTTGATGTAATCGCTACCATCCTCGCCCGGCTTGGGTGTCAAGTGCACCCGACTGCCCTCGATGGGGAAGATGGCTCCGCGGTTCTTGATCGAGTTCACCTGCTTCATGGCGGAGGCAATGTGAATGTCCTTCGGCTGGAACTGGATGATGTTCTTGTACTGCTGCTCCAAGTAGGGAGTGCAGTTCTTAAGCTCCTCGACCTGCTCGGCCATCAGGTTGGTCTCCCCCGAGGCAATGGCCTCGACCAGAGCATCGTGCAGGAATATGTACTGCTCCTCGGTCTGGACCAAAAAGTTTCTCTGGGCTCGAATGTGACGCAGGAAGCCGAAGACATTCACAATCGATTTCTGCTGGATTTGCTTCAGCATGGCGTCCAGAACGATGTAGGTGCCAGTGCGACCAACGCCAGCGCTAAAAATAAGGAGAAAATTGATAAGATATAGTAGGGTTGTAAACGATGAAGCGGTTGCATTCGATGGTTTTTGATAATTTTTTGTTATTATATTTATACTAATTTTTTAACCCACCTGCAGTGCACAACTATGGGACCAGCCTCTGCGGGATTGGCGGCCGATGATTTCTTGACAAAGTTCAGAACAGGAAGCGGATGATCGGGAGTTCCATGATCGGGCCAGTTGGTATAGTGATATTGGTAGACCAGCTTCTCCGTATTGCACTGCTTTTTCTTCTTAAGCTAGAATTAAAAACTCATAAAATTAATAAGGGTATTACTTAAATTAATCAAGTGAAACCCACCTTCAAGTGCTTGATCTGCAGAGTGCGAACTGTGTAAGTGGACATGACTTCCTCCTCGATAAGTTTGACCTGGATAACGCCGTAGGTTTCAACGCCATCCTTCGGCCAGTACATGTCGCACTTGCGCCGTCCACGCTCCACAAGATTGGTGATCATCACTATGATGGCCACCCTCTGCTCCCAAATCATCCGCCAGAAGCAGTCGAAGGTGTCGGGCAAAGGTCCTTGGGTGCCAATAAAGGCATGTCCCTTTTGGTAGCCGTCGATGAAATTGGCATTGATGTAGTCCAGGTTCTTCTTTTGTCCCGGTGTGGGATGCAAGTGCACTCGACTGTGATCATCTGCGTTTTTAGAAATGAACGCGAAATTAGTAAGCTATAATTATTTGTCATAAACTACAAAAGTTCGTTGTCATTAAAAGACTATTAACTTGAGGTGCTTCGATTACTATCTCATTAACTTACAGGCTGTGATGTTCAGATAGCGATTTTTGCGTTTGTTCTCGGGATGCTGCGAGTGCTCACATGGCAGATCATCGCTGATGCACTCGTTCTGGATGGCCTCGTACTCCCGACTAAATCCAATATCTCCATCTGCATGCAGGGAGGCCACGTGCTTGGCGAATTCATTTACGGGAACAGCTGCCCGGATCTCATCGCCGATCTTTACGGGTACCTCCCAATCGACTTGCGGGGCATTGGGGTGGTGCGGCGGATCATCCAGATAATAGTAGGCCGCATGGAAGCACTTTCTGCTGAAAGGAGTTAAAGGAAATACCAAGTGTTAAACAGGATGTGGTGGTTAAATGGAATGTTTTTATATATAAAGAATCTTAATCTTTAATTTAATAATATAATTCATAATTTGTATATTAACTTTTGATTTGTTATTTGACGAATCTATATTTATTTACCCTTTTTTTGTTTTTCTTTCCATTCAATCTTACTTTTATTAAAATACATTTTTTGCCTTTTAAGATTCTTAGAGCCAAAGTCAGTGTGTTTAGAATCCCTATTAACCTGAATATATTTTATAAAACTTGCACTCTAGCACTAGGTGTTTCTTTTTCCCCTTTTTAAATACAATCCTATTAGGAGTAGCAGCAACTAGAGCGGAAGTCTTGCCGACCAGTCATAAAAGTATCCTTTTCTCTACTTTCTTACAGGCTACTTTGGAAAAAGTGTAAGTTCCATTTAAGAGACAGAGAACATTTTTCTTTGCAGAGGTTGTGAACTGTGGAAATTATGAAGCAGCTGCAATCAGTTAGTGCGAAATCAGGGAAAGGTGTCAGATGGGCATGGCCGACAAACACTTAACAAAATCAAAATGCATAAATAAGCAGGGGAGATGTAAAAACGGGTAGATAGATTTCAGGAAGTGGGTGGTCAGTGCTAATGGCATTCAGTTGCAGCCAGGCATAAGGCAGTAGTTCTGCAGGACTGTGCAAATGTTTGCGCAAAGCTGCTTTAAATGAGTGACAATAATGACAAAAGGTGGTCGTTATTGCCTGTTCAGTTTCTATACACAAATTGAGGTTAAGTTTTGTAATTGGCTTAAGCGATTACAAGGAGCGCAGAACTTTGCACCAAGTTTCGCCTACAAGTGCACTCGACTGCCCAACGAAACTTGGCAACTTCCCAGTAAACTTTTCCACTCGCAGTATCCGCTTCTATTGCGGAATTTTGCAGCCTTGGGAGAAAGTGCACGACATAATGGCAATCGAGTGGTCCAGACTGTACTGCCAACTTTTCATTCTGTCTTGTATTGTGGCAGTGGCTCGTTGCACTTGGGAAAGAATTATTGCGGAAATAATCTTGATCTGCATTGAAACCAAATCGATTTCCCAATGTTTACAACAGAAGTCGTTGAATTTTGGATTTAAAAGGAAGGTTTGTTAATTTAGAAATGGATATGTTTCCCAAAATACAAAATTTCAACTTAACTTAAGGTTTAATTTATGTTAACTTTTGTAATAAGAAAATATGCACTTAATAAATACATAAAAATATATTTTTTTAAAATTGTTAAATTTGAGTTGCAACTAGATTTTACAATATTTGTAGAATAAAAATTGCACAAAGCGATACGATATATAAAGCCAATAAGTAATAAATAACCTTTTTTATCGGTCAATATTCCCATTATCGGCTCTAAGGCTACTTCCAAGTACTGATAAAAAGTTTATGTCTCAATATTGGCTCTTTATATATTGAAAGCGATACTGATCTGTCGTTGTAAGCATTTCCGCGGAATTGTTCACAGATTTCTTGTTTACTCTGCGAAGTTTGGCAGCATAAACAAAAGTTGCTGGGGCATCGGGAACTTTGATAATTGTTTCAATAATTCTTATCAACGGGAGAAGAAAATTCGGCTTGTTTACTTTTGCCGTCGACCAAAAAAAAGTAAATAAATAGCTAAAATTTGGGAAAAAACCAACTAGAAAAAATGAAATTCCATCCGATGTATGCACATATATTTACATATGTTTCGCTTGGTTCCCAATCGTCTTCCCACTTCTGTTGTTGTTTATCAAAGACTTTTGTTTTTCTTGCGACTCTATTACGCATCGAAAAATTTAAATATTTATTTATTTTTGTCAATTTCCGCTCGAAGTTACTGTCTATTTAATATGCAACCTGACTGTGGATATTAGTTACTATATGATTTTTGTTTGGCAAACACGTGATCGTTTTCTCGTGGGTGCAGCTGCGAAAAACTTACGTAAACCAATTTCCACGTTGCGATTTACGGCGCAACAACCTTGGTGTTGCTGCTGTCGCTTGTTTGGCTGTTGCTGTTGCACCTGCAATTTCTGATGTTGCTGGTAGCATGGGGCTGCTGCAGCGCTTTTCCCTGCCACCTGACATAATGTGTCGCTTCGCTAGAATTGCATCGCCTTTTCTGCTTTGTGTTTTGTATATTCGCGATTTTTGCTTTTACATATTTACACAAATTACGTCATATTGGCAATGCAATGTGTCGCCAGTTCACTTGCAAAAATAGTACGCAATAACTGCGGGCACACACTGCCGCATAAATTATTTAATGAGGCTGTGGCTGTGACGTTTTAAATCAAATAAGAACTACCAATAACAAAAAAACAAAACAAATACTATCAGGTGCCGCTTGCCAGTTATCGCTGGTTTCCCTTTTTGGCGTTGTTTATTGATAAGGTTTATTGTTATTGGATTTTTTATGTCGGTCTCTCGTCGGCGCAAAAGAATCTGTAGTTTTCGTGCTTATGAACGCGCGTGCTCTGGACAACTGAACTCTTGTCAATTAGCGATCGGGGAGCTGCCAGAGCTTTTCCCTAGTTCCCCCGATCTTTGTCGTAAACGAGAGATATAGAAAGAGCGAGCTTTTTGGGCTTTGCATCAGCTGTGTGATAACAGTCAACACGTTTTTATAAGCTGTCGTAAAAAGCCAGTTTGCCCTGCCTTCTTTCCCACAGTAAATATTGGTTAGGCCTAAACGCTTTCAAAAGTCTAGAGGTGTTAATAGAATTTGTATTAATTTTACTCTTAATGGTATAATGAAAAGTTTAAAATAAAAATTAATAATTTTATTTAATACTACAAAATTGTTTTCTTACTCAGTGACTTAAGTTAAGCAAAGATAGTGATTAAACACTTCTTATGAAATAAAAATCTAGGGTTAAAATGCCAAAAATAACAAAAGTATGCTACTGCAAATATTAAAAGATTGTGCTAAGATTTTAAATTACAAATTTTAGAGCTCAATTTTTATTTATTGCTGCTAAGCAGTACGAACTGTGCCAATTCCAGTTAAAATGCTATATAATCCTGCAGTATATCTTATCTACATATGACATTGATTTAACCTTTTCAGTTATACATATAAAAATACAAAAATGTAAATGTTTTTTTCTACCGTGTTTGCTTAATTAAGTCTACTGTTGTTTGCTATTGTTGCTGCCCTGCTAGCTCATCAATTAATCAATTAAAAAACGCAATTTTCAGCACTCGCTGCCTTATTGAGAATCGATATTTGTTAATCGTTTAATTGCGCCAGAAAACTTCCGCAATACAAGTTGCATTGGGAGAAATTTACCCTTGGAAAGTTGAAACCGCTGGTATTTAGTTCATCGATACTGTTGGTCAAATCGGAGCAAGGGGAGTAAAATGGGTAAAACTGCACACTCTCCCCCCACAAAAATTTCGTCTATTTCCATGGTTGTCATGAAATGGAACTTTTTTGGCAGAAGTAACCAATACGTTGCCCAAAGACAATTTCTTGTCTGACTCTGCTATTCTATTTTTGGCATAGGGAAAAGTTCTATACGAAAAAGCCAGACACGCGCACACACATTGACTGGCAAATAAAGCCGTCGACACAAAAACAATGTTCGCAACTGCATCAGATATGAAAAAGTAACACAAAAGTCGACATACGATGAGACCCAGATAGAGGGTAAAAGTGTTCTCCTTCTTTTGCTATTTCGGTGTCGCAATGCAAATGGAAAATAATATTGAATTTAATTTATAAGAAACAGAAGCTAAGATACCCTTCATTGCAGTTTCTGATCTGGTGATTCAAAATATTTCCTCGTTACAATGTTTAAATAAAAAAAAATGCATTACCATAATTTAAAGAGCTGACATTTTTCAATTCAATTTTATAAATTGTCAGTTGTAATTAATATGGTTTGATTATACAAAGGAAACATAAAGATAAAATAGGTAGACTAACCAAGATCCCTTATATAAAAAACCCTAAAGAAATATATTGTATGACGTGTAACGCGTAACTATTTTTCCAGCTCTAAAAAACGTTGGTAGAGCAAGTTAAAAAGATGGTTATCGCTGTTGGCAGCAAATTGTTGCCACAAGAAATTGCAAAAGTATTTCCACTTGGCGCACAAGCTGCTAGTTTTCTAGTGTGTGGTTAGTACTTAGTTAACCTGCCACAAGCCGCAGCAGTTATTAAAATAATTTCCACACCCCTTGACTTTTTGCCATTCAGGCCTCCAGTGGCGGCCACTAAACGTTGATTAGTGCTCTGCAAATGTACTAGTAAAAGTAAATGTAAATGTAAATGTAAATGATTTCGCCCAAGAGCCGCGAATTGAGTTCTGCAAGATTTTTTCTCGCCCTCACATAAAACGCAAAACCCTTTTTTCTTGTTTCTCTTGGTTTTTCTCGGTTTTCTTTCTGAATTTCTCGCTGACTTTTGTTCTGGCTTCTCCAACCCACTCTTCACTTTATATTTGTTTGCATTGAAAAGGAAATTGTAGAAATTCGCCTTTGTTTGCTTAATAAAATATAATTTTTTCCGCTCTAAAACTTGGGTAACTTGAAAAATGGGATGGCCACACTCCAACCTTCTGCTTTTCCATCTCCTCACGCTCTTATGCGTTCTGCTCTGCTCGCAGGGTATTTGTAAAAAATAAATAAAATGGCATTAATTTGTTAGGGGACCCGAGAAGGGGTAAAAAGTGGTTTGGGTAACTTTCATTTGCCATATTCGCGGCAGCATAAAAAATCGCTTCGACAGAAAATATGCAAAGTTCTTTCCACTGAAGTCGGGTGGGTATAAAAACGCTTTCCATTTTCCCCAACACATTTTGTCGTTTAAAATGCTTGCCGTTGCCTCCGGCAAATGCGAATCCGGATACGGAGTACGATTCCCGGGGTCTGGGCAATGGGTTAACCACTTTTACATTTAATAAAGATTTTAAGTAAGTTAAAATTGTTTTGCTTGTCTTTGTCTTTGGCTTCGCTGCGGACTCTTGTTTTTTTTTTTGCGATTTGAATTTTAATTAACATTCTTAGGAAATATGAGAATAGCCCACCTCCCTTTTCAAGTTTGTGGTTTCTGCTGCTTACAGAAAAAAAGCAGATAGAAATGGTTGATTCCTTAATTGTGGATTGCTTTGAGAAGCCATTCCGAAAGGATCTTCTGTACTTTTGTGTGTGTAATTAATATTGGCTTGGAAGCCTACTAATTAATTAAGTATTTGAGTTTATATACAAAGAGATAAGTGTAAATAAGTAAAAACGACAAGCGATTTAAATTCTTCTGGGTAAATTCCAAGAATTCTAAATGTTTCACTACTAAAAGTTGAAAAATAAAAATAGCCACTTTCTATAGCTGCAATTTGCTTTCTTGAGTTTATTTTTAAATTCCATCGAAGGGAGTGGGAGGACAGCGTTTTGCACTCAACACTTTGACAACAGTTTTCACAGTTTTATTTATGGAACTGCACGCGACTGTCTAAGAAAAAGCAGCTGCTTCTTTTAGCGGTTACATCTGCACTTGTTTCACAATATATTCTTATTTTAGAATTTAATGCTTCTATTTGGCAAAAGAGCGCCACTTACCTCCACAGGAAGAAGGCCATGATGATCAGAATGATGCCGAAGCAGCTGAAGATAATGCCCACCAATACGGCCAGGTTGTAGTCATTATGCGATTGACGCAGCAGAGGTTGGAGTTTTTCGCAATTCGGTTGTAGTTGAATCTGTTCGGAGGAAAAATAACCATTTGTGAGTTGAGTTCAGATATTTAATAATTACGTTATATATTTAAGCCCAATAATCAATACATGCCTAGAACATATTTACACTATACACCCTTATTTACTATTTAAAAAAAAGAGTAGCGTATTTATAAAAAAGAATTACGTGTTTAACTAACATAAAATTTAAATTATAGAATCTTAAAATCCAATAAATAAGTCTTATAAATGTGATCGTTTTTAGGCATTACAAAAAATAGAGTCGGCAACATTTTGTCCTCTGTACACGTGCATACAATGTGTAAGTTACAAATATGTGTAACTCTGTTATCATTATATGCGAGTTTTATTTTTGTTGATTTTTGCTTCTTTGTTTGCTTTTCGCGCACTCTTTATTTGCGCTTGTTTATTTCCGTTTTTTGCATACGATTTCTGCTGCCACCCAAAAAAAGAAAGGATTTAAATGAGCGCCATTTAACGGGAGAAGGGGAACGTTTGTGTGCGCCGAGCGGAAAATGGCAGCGGGCCATGTAAATGCGGCCAAAAGGTGCAGGCCACTTGAAATTCAGGCAATCCAACAGCAACAACAATGCCAATGAATTATGAATGAGTGAGAGGGGGAGAGAATGAGAGAGAAAACAAGAGCCACTAAAAATATTGCTGCATACTTATGAGGGCGTGTCACTGCGGTTTCCCTCTGCCCCTCTGCACCACCCCCTTCCATGACCCCACCCCCTCCCCTAAAAGTTGAGGTCAACTAAATTGCTATATTTCTGCCACAAGTTTGGATTATATTTTATGCATGCAACAAAGTTTGCGGTGTGTGTGTGTGTGTGTGTACGTTTGTGTGGAATGTCATTAAGGATGTTGTTATGACAGGTTGAAGGAGTTGCTGTGCGGGTACTAAATGTCAATAAACGCAGGTGCACAGGAAGAAAATCAGGTTGAAAACAAATATACAATTTAAGAAAGCCTATCAGATTTTACCCAAAGAAGCCAAAATATTTATTGAACTTGTAATAATTAAGTAAATTAAGTGACAAAGTGTACAAAAATGATGATATTTAAGTATAAGCTCCATGAATACCAAATTCAGTGCTTATTATTTTTCTTGTGCAGGCACAATTGAGTGGGTAAGACCATTCATTGTTATTGCCTCTCATTACGCATACGCCACGGGGTCCACTTGGTAAAGACTCAATAATGCATAGACACAAAAGGTGAAGGCACATAAAAAAGTAAAGTTATTTCCCTAGTGCAGTAAAATACTCCGAATATTTTCGCCAAGTTAGGATAGAATTTTTCCCACTAAATAACTTTTCTGTGAGTTTTCCGGAAAAACGAACAGCCTGCTACTCTTTTGGACATGTAATCTGATATGGAAACTGACAACGCCGAGGCTGCCAACTTTATGGCTTGCCACGCCCCTTTGCCTTATATCTACGCCCTGCATTTTGGCCCGCCTCAAAACGTAATGCCAAGTTTTTCCGCTGTGTGGCAGGTGTTTGTCTGTTTGTGGGTTGCATTTGATATCTTTATGTGCTACTTACGATCCTTGACTCCGAAAATTTGCCCAACACAATTTTCTTTGGATTTATGACACTGAACGTTGCCGCTGCCACTTTGACCTCGTAGTACGAGTTGGTTGTCAGATTTTGTAGAATCATCTGCAAGGTATAAAAGAGCGTAAAAAACATTACTGACAAAACAATATAAGGATATCCTTAAGTTAATCTAAATTTCTTAATAGTTATAGTTGCTGTTTTTGTTTCGAAAATTTTATTTCTTTATTCTTCTTGAGCAATAATTGAACAACAAATATTAATTTTTTTCCTTACTTTTTGATATTGTAAATTGAGAATTTTCCTTTGCTTTCAGTGAACCTTAAATCTACTAAAATACGCATTGACCTTTGACTTTATTAGCTAAGATAAAATTCTCTTTTGAGATCAGAAATATTTTCTAATTTAGTTTCCATTTAACTTCGTCTAAATTCTGTCTCTTTCTTTTTTCCAAAAAACTAAATATTTGGCATTCATACTCGCAATCTAAATAAAGGTAAAATTATTGCCATTCCTGTTGTTTAGTTGTTCAACAAAAAGCTTGTTTGCTGCTGCAAAATATTTCAATTACAAAAATATTCTCAACTGGTCAAAACAAAAGCAAGGCGACATAGGAATCAGAAAAAGATAGAGGATTTCAGAGGGAAACAGAGTCAAAAATAAAATATAATAACGAAACAAGAACTGAACTAGTTTCAGATATGGAAAAAGTCATGATAACATTTTATTGTTGTGAAATTTGTTTGCCTCGCTACGTTCCCCGCGACAAACTTTGTATTTATTTACTTTTTGTCATTTTTTTGCGTCTACTTCGGACGCCAAATAAAAAGGGCAGAGCCGGCACAAAGGCGGACAGGAAAAACAACATAAATTTAATTTATTTTCGCAGGTGTGGGCGGGTTTTCATACGTGTGCGATGGTTGCGGTGCATCGGAAAAGGTATGCTGCCCATGTGTGGGAACTTTTCGGTATAGAATTTTCTATAAAATATTTACGGGCGACGCGGCAGGTGAGCTTTTTCGTATTCCGTTTGTTGTTTGCTGCATAAAAATGCAATTATTACTGCCGGCTTTTTATTGTCCCCCCTCTACTTTTTATTTACATCCCTGCATATCGGTCTGTATTAGGCAGTTTGTCATAGAACTTTTCGTTTTTTATGTGGCGCGGGCCGAGCCAAATAGTCGCGATAAGCCGACTCGATTGACATATCACAAGTCGGACAACAATGTTGCCAACTTGGCAGGCCAATAAAATGCTTGCTAACAGCGCGGCAAAATATCTATTTTTTTCCCCGCAAAACCTGCGTTTGAATTATTACTACCAGACTCCAAAGGGATCAATCCATTTACTATTTGTTTTGAGATTTTAACACAAATTTAGCTTTAAATTGTTAGCCTTTAAAAACGCTAAATACAAAGTATTTATTTGCAATGAATATTTATTATAAAGAGTTTGTAGTTTTTATTATTATTGTTTTTGTTTACCTTAATCATTATTTAAGATTTCGTTTTTTAAGAAGTAGTTTGAAAAGTAAAAACTTACCGCAGTTTCCAGCTCTTTGGCGGATGCATTTATCCTTATATCCCGATGTGTATCCTGTCCAGCCAATCGCGTCTTGATTATGTAAAAATCAATGGTGTTATAGAACTCATAGGGTCTTCGCCAGCGAATAGTGATCGATTCCTGGGAGTGGCAGGTGAGGTTTACAATAGCCGGAGCACTGGGACCACCAACATCTGTTCTCTGGGCAATCTGATCTGAGGGTTCGCCTTCATTTTTGGTGGTAAATGCCTTAACTATCACACGATAATCGGTGTAGGGTCCTAAAAACCATTTTTAATATGTAATTAGTTATTTATAAAGACTAGATAAAAGTACATGTATGTATTCATTAGATAAAGTTTATGGGTCCGCTATAGGTATATACCTAATTGACTCAAATAAAATTCATCGAGTACGATTACCTATTTTTGTGAGAATCGTATTAAAATAATCGACACATCTTCTATATTAAAAGCCTTTAGCTCTTTTATCTTCACCATTTTCTGTAAGCCTTTAATAAGCTTTATTGCCGTTTGAGTATGTTTTGATGCGACAGTTGAGGCTTTTATTGGTCGTAAATACTGCCAACGAATGACAGTTGCATTAACGTACAGTATTGTATGTATCTGAATATATATAGAACACCTGCCACCATAAATTGAGGATCGGGCATCTCTTCCTGCTCATTATGAGCACCGCATGTCACTGAATGCAAAGAACGGAAAACAGGAGCGCGCTTTATAATTAAATTTTACTCGGTGAAAATGCAGGGGACAGCGGCAGCAACAACAATGAATTGATTTTTTATGCGAAAGGAAAGCAAATAAAAAATACAAAAACCAGCACCAGTACCTCAGGCGAAGCTGTCAGCTTAAATGGGATATAATTACCAAGAGTAACTGCTGACATCTACTTGGATTAAATTTGGAAATAATTAAACGTTGCCATGGCGGCTCGGAGCAAAAAGCCAGCATGCCGCAGAATGTAACTCCTTTTGCAATTTCCATGCAGAAGTAAGCTGCAGCTGAAGGTACATTCTGCTGGTGCAGGTGCAGGTGCAGGTGCTCACCTGAGTCGTGTAATTAAATTAAACAATGTGGGTGCATGAGAATGTGGAATGCGTCGCATAACTTTGTAGCAAGTTAATTGCATGGCTCGAGGGCGCCTCTAAAAACCTCAAAAAAATTTGAGAAACTCCAAAAGGATTTCTAAGTAGCTCGCAAATGGTATTCCCATGCCCAAAAAGCCACCTCGCTCCTTAATCAGGTAAATAAGACGAGGTGTACAATTATAAGCGTCAAAAGTTGTTGGCAAACAGAAAGTGGCAAGCGAGTGGCAGCGGGCACTTGAAACTATTTAATTACAAAGCAGCTGGCAACCAATTTGACTGGAGCTTCAATTAGTGGTAATAATAGGGAGGGTTAAAGGGGCTTTCCATTGGCGGAGTAGGCGGAAAAGTATGCGCCGCTTTTCACAGCGTGGGCGTCTGACTGTTGACAGTTTGATGTCGAGTTCTAAAGTTGATGGGGGTCGAATCGACGGGCACAATTTGCAAATCCTTTGATCGGTCTGGACTTTCAAAGTTTTATAAATATACCGACCGAAAGAGTGAATACATTTAAAGTTATAAAGTTGAGCCAATTGTGTTCGTTACTACATCAATTTATTTAAGCATATTTATTTGGGTTTTTTAAAACTTTAAAGAGTTAAACTTACGTAAATTCTGCAACTCAAAGTGAATGAGTGTTTCGACCGAATTGCGAGAGTTCTTCACGATTTCCACGCCAGTTTGATTGTCGTGTATGTGGAACACATGGTAACCGGCGATGGCTCCGTTTTGATTCTTTGGCGGATGCCAAGACATCGTAATACTGTTGGCCGAAACATCCAGGATGGTGAGATTCTGGGGTTTGCTTGGCACTGCAAAGAAAAGTAAATAGAACACGGGGATGAGTATAAAAGTCAAAAGTTAAATATGTTGATGTTCTTAGGCCAAGTTGAACAAACAAGTCAGCTGAAATTTATTTAGGGTGTGGAATATAAGATACCACTTTGATGATTTTTTGCTGGCTGTTGTTCAGCAATCATCGCAAAGAAATACTTAAAAGTTACAAATGTAAAATATTTAAGACATTAAACCCTCTCCTTAACGACTAAAAATGTTTTATTTTTATTTCCGCATATGATCTTTATACAAAATTCAACAATATACCCTTGATTTGTGTAATTTGCGGCTTTAAAAGTTAATTCCCAACTCTTGGGTTATCAAAGTCGTCGCAGCTGTTTAATGTATACAAATTCCTCCAAAGTAATCCCAAATTTGTAAATAAAAAATGTTTGCATACTTAGCGGCGTGTGCACATAGAAAATGGTAAGTCGGATGACGCCAAATGACATTGCATAAATAATTTATTTAATAACAAAAAAAAGAACAGAGGAAAATAAAACCGTAAAAGGGGCAGAGGAAGTCGAAGCAATCGCAACGAATGAAGAAAAGTAAAATAAATTGAAATGAATATTTTGCAGAAGCAGATAAAACAATTTATATTCAAATGGCAGGCGAATCATGTGTGTTGGTGAGTGAGTGAGTGTTTGTGTGTATGTGTGTGTGTGTGCGAGAGAGAACAAAAAAATTATATATTCAATTACGAGAGGGGGAAAAGAAGAAAAGAATTGGCGCAAGTAAAGCGCAACGTAATCGAAGCGCATAAAGAAACGGAAATGCGATTGCTAGCAATTTATTATGGCCTGCACTTGCCAGTGGGGTAACACATACACATACGCATACACACAGATGGGGCACACACAGATGCAGATACATACCCATACAGCTGCAGATGGTGGCTTATAATCCAGCAAACCAGCGGATGCAAAAGCCCTGGCAATAATTTCATTTGCAAGCCAAAGGACAACACTCGACCATGTGTGACAGCCAAAGGCTTGTTGTGTGTGCGAGTGTGTATTCTGGGGTCCTTGTGTGCCTGCCATTGTGTGTGTGTGTGCAAGTGGCAAAAAGCACTAAATGGTAATTTATTTTACTAATACAACAAAAGCCCGGGCATCGAGCAAAAACGCTCCGCAATCAAAAGAACAAATGAGTGACCCGAGGGCGGCAACGGGCACTTGACCCTACTCCGCCCGAGACTTTTGCCATGCAAATGCGATAAAGCTTAACAAAACACACATACTCAGTTCCCCTTTTCTAACACTGAGAGAAAAATAAGGGAGAAATTTGCTTTGTAGGATTAAAAAGGTACATTTAAATTTAAACGAAACTGTTTGGGTTTTCAATCACTTTCGAAATGACTTGAAATGAAATATTGGTAAATTTGTATTTTAGGGTTTACTTATGCCTCATTAGGTATGGAATAAAACATATAAATTTTGTGTCAAGGATTCATATTTCAGTGAACATTTTTCAGTAGCCAAAGTATTGTTTAAAAGCCACAAAATGGTTTTTATTTCATTTGAAAAAGGTACAGGATTGTTACTTGGAATTGCTCTCAGTGCAAAGAAGTAGGAAAAAGAGGAACCCACACATGAACAGTTGGCTGGGCAGAATAAACAGTCGCTGTCAATGTATAGAAATTTATACAATTCAATAAATGGCATTTCTACTTTCTTTGCCTTTGCCACTGCCTCTGTCCTTTTGCTTCTTTCACTCCCATTTCTCCGCCCGTTCTACTCCAATTTCTTCTTGTACTTCATCCTTGGCCTGTGCTCTCTGCAATTGCAAACGGAAATGGAAATGGGAAATGGAAAGGCAGCTGCTGTATCTGCAAAAGGGGAAAGGAAAAAGCCAATTTATAGACTCGAACTCGAACTATGAAAGCAAACGACTCACTTGAGGACCGATGGCGAAAAAGGAGTGGGGTACTTGTATTAAAATCAATTAAGCAACAAAGTGCCCACACACACACATGCGATAAATGTCCTCGCAGGTCAGGGAAATGGAAAAAAGAGGAGAAAAGTTAATAGGTTTGCCACTCGCAGAAGACAGCTGGCAGTTCACCTTCTCGCCGGCAGGTTGCTGTGTGGGCACTTAGTGCTCCTGATTGGTTTTTGTTTGGCAAATATAACATAAATAATTGAGAGAGCAATCACGAGTAACCGGTTTGATAACGCAAATCAATCAACTGCCGAATGATTTGCAGGCTAAAAATATCAAGCTATTTTTGCGAAACATTATTGATGAATAGTTGGAGTTCCTAAAGCAGTAAATTAGGGAAATAAACATATATTTTTGCGATGAAATTATTAATGGAACGGGTTCAGATCACAACAAATTAATTAGGGAAATATACCATTTATAAAATAATATGATTTTTTTTTTTATTTTAGTACATTTTGTTGAACTCTGATTTTATTTTTAATGCTTAACGTTCAGTGCATACAAATTGAAAAAAAAAAACTGTTAAATATTCAAGAATTACCAAAAAACACAAGTAGCATAAAAAACCTTTGTCCACAAGAAATATTTTTTAATTAATACAGATTTTCTTATAAATTTGGAACCGTTTTGATAATTAAACCGATCTGCACAAGAAATCCGATTTCTAAGCCTTCCTCCTTAACTCAAGGAAAAAGTGTCCTCACATTTGACATGTCTGGGCAAATGAAAAGAAAACAATAGATGCGCTTTCCTCACTATTTGCTCAGGCATCGCGCCGGAAGTAACCAAGTGTGAAAAAGCAAAGGAAAATCCGAAAAGCCTGGGAAAACTAGGGGGGTGCACACTCAAAGCGCGCGTGATTATTTTCACAAAGGCAAAGGCAGGAAGTAGAAAAAATATAACTAGAAAACTGTAGTCAGAGGAAAATCGGAGGAAAAGAGTGTGGCGACTGGAAAAACCAATACCGACGACGTGCTTAAGTTGTTAAAAACTGCAAACAAAAGAAGGCAGCAACTCGAGGACACCTAAGGGGGTTTCGGGGGTGGTGTTCAAGGTGTACTTCTGTGTGTTTTATTGTGTGTATGGAGCAAATAGCATTAAGTTGTCTGAGCTTCAAAAAAAAATATATATATAACAACAAAAACAACAAACAGCTTGAAGAGCAAGGAGCAAGCAACAAAACTAAGCCCGAACATGAAGATATATAACAACAAGTTAAGAGTGGGCCGCCATTGTTGTTCGCCATATGCCTTATTTAGTTGTTGCTCTTCGTGCTTTATTGTTGTTGCTTAACTTTACGAGCTGCTTTACGGATTTGGCCAGACGTAAAAACTAAACAAAAGGCGACGGACGGTGAGTAAATAAGAAAGAGCGAGCGAACAAACAATTAGAGAATACACACACGCCGAAAAAAAAGGGAGGCAAAAAAGCCAGGTGACTGGCTTTCAAAAGGCGTCAAAGGCTCTACCGTCCCGAGAGTTCGCACAAAGGCGCAGAAATTATGCGAAATAAAGGCCGAAAACGAAGGGAAAAAAAGAAAAAACAGCAGCGACAACACGCTGCGAAAAAATAAAAGCTAAAAAGTTTTTTTTTCCCTCCAAAGCTTTGATGGCCAAGAGCAAACAGTGAATGGTCCAAAAGGCTCCGGCACTTAGCGGAAGTAACGTGGCGGCCATTTTGAATGCACATATGTATGAGTCTGAGTGTGCGAGGGTTTGTGTGTGTCAGCGACCCTTTTTGCACTTTGATTGCTGAGACACGAGACCGGGAACGACTTTAAATGAAACAGTTTCGGTTTATTAGTTGTCATAAATAAAATAAATAATATGTTTTAAAGCCCCTCCAAAAACTCTGTTATAGTTTATATTACACATAAAGTTGTAGTATCATTTTAAGGACAGTTTTCTGATGTTCACAATATGCTAAAATTAGGTTATATGCTGTCCTTTCGGAATTTAAGAACCACTTTTAGCTTACCATGAAAAAATTTGAAATATTTTAGAAACATAACTATGCGTTTTTGTGTTGTTAAGGTAAAGGTTAGTCTAATTATCTCCTAATATATTTCATATTTTAGTTTACTTAGAAACCAAATAAAACGAATAAAACTTAAAGAACTACCTTTTTCATAATAAATAGCTTTGCACCAGTTTTGTTTTGCCAAGTCCATTGAACTCAATGAAAATGACTTATAATTTATATTATTCGTGCAGACATTTTGATTAAATTGCTGTAATTTCTGTAATGTCTAGTCCTTGGACAGGAATTTCGCCATTATGCCTGCGGCCCTATTTAAACTCAAAGTACTGTCAAATGCACAAACAAAGGGCCAAAACACAACTGACACACATCAAATGAGCCAACACAATCGTATTTGCACACTGACTCTGACAAATGGTCAAATGGACAACCGAGAAAGTGTATTTGTTTCAAAGTGCTTCTGCCACTCGACCTGTCAGCCTAAAATCTACCGATAATCCTTTTGTAAGTGATTTTTATTTGGAGCTCTTATGTTCACTAATTTGCAGCTTTTGAACACCTTTGACATGTGTCCTGTTTGGGTCAAAGGCAGCGAACTCGTATGTTGCCCTAAAGGGCTAGATTTATAAAATATTTCTGTCACTGTGAGATATATAATGGTTAATAGATAACATAATCCATAAGTAGAGAATATTTTAAATACATATTTCTAAATTTAAAAAAAATATATTATTACTAATTATATAAATATTATGTCTTATAAAGATCTTTTGTATAACTACAAATGTTGAAAAAATTGTATATTTTGATAAAACATTTATATCTAAACATTTTCTTGCCACGTTAAATATGAAAAAAAATAAAATAAATTCCCCACCAGTTATTCGTTTGAAGGTCTTACAGTTTGGAAACATTTCTTATTTTAATCAAACTTTTTTGTATAAGCTTCTTAGTCGTAAAAACCTAACTTAAAATGTAGAAATTGTGCAGAGACTTTTATATTTTTCCCCCGCAACTTTAAGCCGAACTTTACCCGCCCATCCGGAAT